TTGTTGCCACTCCAGATTGCTGGCATTGAACAATTTATAAAACTTTGATTTGGTAAATAAGGTTAGAAAAGGATGGTGTAAACTCCAAAAAAAAACTAACAACGGTATCAGCCACTTTTTTTCATGAAGGCCATTATTTTGGAACAATTGTTCCATTCCCCCTACATATTCTCCTAGAAAGCTAGGTCTTCACAGTCTCCCAGAATACTATTCTTGACTGGGATTCAAACTATTTCAAAAGAGAAAGGTGCTCCTGCAGTTGAAATTTGAAATTGGACTTTGGCCATGGCTCAGCTTGTACTATGGATAGGAAATTCATGTTGGAGGAAATTTTGTGGTGTATTGTAATTATCTTTTGTGTGTGTGTGTTTTGTGGCTTGGGGGAGAGCAGTAGGAGAGGGAGAGAACAATCTTTTAAATTGCAAAGACTCATGAGGTTAAAACACTGGGTTGACAATCAGCAAGCCCGTGTTCAAGTCCCATTTCTGTGAGCTTCTGCCATACACTCAGCTCCTGCTGATCCAGCAGTTTGTAAATGGACAATTGCAAGTAGGTGCTTTTTGAAGACTTTCTGGTTTTTCTTTGAAGATGATTTGCTTCTCATCCAAGAAGCTTCTTCAGCTCTGACTGGATGGTGGGGAATGGGAACTCTCTACCATCCAGACAAAGCTGAAGAAGCTTCTTGGATGAGAAGTGAAATGTCTTCAAAGAAAAACCAGAAAGTCTAGTTGCCTTCTGAAAAAGCACCTTTGGGACAAGCATGGCCTGGATGTCTGAGAATCTCAGTCAAACATTTTCCCTCCATTGTAATCTGAGGGTAGGTATGAACACATGGGTACCACTTTGGTGGGCAATCTCACAGGGATGCGAAAGGAGCCTCCAAGTGGGCGACCCCCTAGGCAATGGTGACGGCAAATCCTTTCGACCTGGAAGCACTTCAGTGCTTCTGACATGGCGGGAGGGGGGGATTTTTTAAAGGACTTGGAAGTCACATCATATAAAAACAGTATGTCAAATTTTTAATTGAAGACATTTCTTGGTATTGAAATTTGCATCTTGAAAGATACTTGGTTTGTTTGTTTGTCTTCTTGTTTGTTTAAGCCAGTGGTGAGATTCCAAAACTTTTCCTACCTGTTCTTTGAGAGCGCACTTCGCACACACACTTGTGCTTCGCGCATGCATGCAGCACTCAAAGACCGTCCTCAGTGTCAGCACTAGTAAGCTGAGCTGTGTTTTAGCTCAGCTTAGGCACAGCAATCTACTCTCCTGTGCAAATCAGCTGAGCTAAAAAAACAAGGGAATATAGGACAGGGAACTAAGGGGGCGGGAGGGTGGGGCCAACCAGAGTTGGTATTTGCTGGTTCTCCGAACTACTGCTCCTTTCCACTATTGGTTTGTCTGAACCGGTCCGAACTGGCTGAATACCACCTCTGGTTTAAACCTACTTTGATAATAGCCCTTTAGCTAGGGGGGAAGGATGCCAATGATGCTGACTGTTTTATCTCACCATTCTAACAGTTTCAGAAACTCAAAATGACCCTAATTTTTATACTAATGCTTCTATATAATTCCATCTTAGATAATATGCTCAAAGCCTCAGGCACTTTAAGGGCAATTAGAGGCCAGCAAAAAACAAAAAAAACAAAAACCAATTGAACAGTGCTGTGAAGAAGACTCAAACCATCATTTACGTTGTTAAAGGTATTCTTGTAACCTACTTCTAAAAAGAAATCCAAAAAATGTATGGTGTACAAGAATGTTCTCCTAAATGTTTAATCTATATTAATTATAGATTACCAGTCAGTGGTAGAATAAGCAGCATGACGAAGCAACGAAAGGGCTTTTTAAAAACCTCCATGTTCATAATTGGCATGCTTTTTATATTGCAAGCTCCAATTTGGGTCGGTTAGTTTTTTATATGTTGCTGCTTCAAAACGGACAATAGGAATGTTGTTGTTGTTGTTGTTTTGTCAAAGAACAAATACAGGCGTTCCTCAACTTACCACAGCTCACTTAGTGACCTTTCAAAGTTATAACTGCATTGAAAAAAGTGACTTACGTGTTCTGACCTAAGCTTCCTCAGCAGCACTAAACTGAGTCCTCGTCCCTATAAACCCCTTTTATTTAATTTACAGTGAATTCCTCTCCAGCAAAGTCTTTCCTCTCCCACAGTCTTTCAAAACAGTTCACAATTACGGACCTTTATCAGGCTTGGAGAGTGGCCAAGCCGATATCTTTCAGACACCGCAATACTCGACAAGAATGCAGGAATGAACTAACTGTCTCCTGCAAACACCCCTCCTCTTTCACTCCTCTTTTATTCCCTACGGGAGGGCCCATTCATCAGCCACCTGTGACCTTACTCCCAAGTTGACCCTTGTTCCTTAGCTGTTCCCTTCATCTGGCAACTCTGCGCATGCGCACACTGGGAACAGGCTCCACTGTTTGTCTGCCACACTGATGTCGGACTTCGGAGGCAGCTGATAACTGTCAGACGGACCTGGCCCCATCTCTGCCTTCAATGCAGAGCACTCATCAGAGCCTTCCCCATGACTGGACAAGTTTAAACTGTATGACGAGGTGTTGAAACCAAGAGCCAAGGTGGCACAGTGGTTAAAATGCAGTACTGCAGTCTACTTCTGCTGGCTGCCTGCAGTTTGGCAGTTCGAATCTCACCAGGCTCACAGTTGACTCAGCCTTCCATCCTTCCGAGGTGGGTAAAATGAGGACCCAGATTGTTGGGGGCAATAGGCTGACTCTGTAAAACCGCTTAGAGGCAGCTGTAAAGCCCTGTGAAGCGGTATATAAGTCTAAGTCCTATTGCTATGTGGAATAGTTATTATGATGAGGAGTTTTAATGTGCATTTTCTAGTTAGTCCCTATTGATAACTAGTAACTGGTATAAGAGTTGATTTGAGATCTTGAAATAAAAATTCTACTCTACTTTTTATGTAGAAGTTGCTTAATTTTCTGAAGCATTTCAGATACAGGAAGGTACCCATGGGATACTTGGGGTCCCAGCCACAATTGCTACAACTTTTTAGGGAAGAAGAATGGGGGGTGGGGCAGGAAGGCTTTATTAGGGGCCACTCTCTACCAGTTTGTAACTCCCCACATTTACATGACAGCCATTAAGTCATAGACTATTAAATTTTGATTATTTATTTATTTATTTATTTATTTATCTGTTTAAAAGGTTTGTTTGTCTGGCTATCTTAAAACCACAACTCTGGGCAATTCACAACAATGACATAAAATCAAACATCATAAACAGTAAAATAACAAAAAAAAAAGTAAAGTAATTGTGCCCACTTTTGCCTTCCACAAGTGAACTTTTTTGTGTGTGATAAATTAGCAGAGAAAGAAAATTGAGTTTAGAGATGGATAATGGATTAGTTGTGGACTACCTTATTTAATTCTTTTAACAAAAAATTGAACAGCCCTGTCTATAAGGGCACCCTTGTTTACATTCTCCTGAGATTTTTATTAATTTGCTCTAAAGATTTTCCAATCGTGTGAAAAGAATTTTTAAATCGGAAGTGGCCAGAATAGGTGGTATATGTTATTTTCAGTAGGTAAGCAAAACTTTCTGACTCCCAGCACTTTCATACAGCAAATAAAAGTCAGGTTAAAATAAATCTCAGATTTAGCCTTCCGCTTGCCATTTTAGCTCAAGCTCGCTCTCTCCCCCTTCTTAAATGAAAACTAATTAAGCTTCCTTCCATTTGATTGACAGAGACCTTGAATTCTAATCCTAAAATCATGGATTATGTGATTTTTAATTCTGCACATTCTAAGGGTCCTAGGGTGGAGGAAGGTAAAGCTGAATTTTATACAGGAATTAATATGTTGTGAATTAGCATCCTTTCTCTCTCACAATTATGTTTGGAAGAGTTAGCTGTAAAAGGAAAACAGGTCACCAAAGAGCACGATGTCTGGACATCATCAAAGCTGACACCAGCCAGAGCATAGAAAAATCAACAAAGCAGTGCAAAATTGGAATATGTGGGGAGACCTGGCCCATAGAATCACCAAAATAGGGCATGACTATATGGATATATAAGGGACGTGGTGGCTCAGTGGCTAAGACACTGAGCTTGCTGATCAGAAGGGTCGGCAGTTCGAGTCCCTAGTGCCACATAACGGAGTGAGCTCCCGTTACTTGTCCCAGCTTCTGCCAACCTGGCAGTTCTAAAGCATATAAAAATGCAAGTAGAAAAATAGGAACCACCTTTGTGGGAAGGTAACAGCGTTCCGTGCGCCTTTGCCAATTAGTCATGCCAGCCATATGACCATGGAGAGGTCTTCGGACAGCACTGGCTCTTCAGCTATGAAGCGGAGATGAGAACTGCTCCCTAGAGTTGGGAAAGACTAGCATATATGTGTGACTAGCACATATATGCGAGGGGAACCTTTAAAAAGAGCCGAGGTGGCGCAGTGATTAAATGCAGCACTGCAGGCTACTTCAGCTGACTGCAGTTCGGCTGTTCAAATCTCACTGGCTCAGGGTTGACTCAGCCTTCAATCCTTCCGAGGTGGGTAAAATGAGGACCTGGATTGTTGTTGGGGGCAGTATGCTGACTCTGTAAACCGCTTAGAGAGGGCTGAAAGCCCTATGAAGCGATATATAAGTCTAACTGCTATTGCTATTGCTAACTGCTACCTTTACCTTTATACAGATAACATCACCATCTCCCACAATGCAAATGACTGTACATATAGCTTATTGCAACACATGGCACATGGGGTATAAGAAGGAATTGCTTTCCATTATTTTTACTCCTACGTACATACACACATGCACACACACATATACATAATACATACGTACAAACATTCTTAGCTGAGCTGCATTTTTACTCTTGGACCAAGTTTGCGAAATGAATAGAGGAACTCTTAACCAGGAAGCCCATAAGCTTCCAATCTACCCAGAACATAAATATCCCACATTTAGATCTTGTTTTCCTAACTCTGGCTTTCTAACATGTCTCGTTCGGCAGGCAAAGCTTTGACCTATCTCCTGCTCCAACCTCCCAGTCCAAAGCTTCCTCCTCACAGCACCATTCGAAGAACTGCCATTGACCTCATAGGAAGAGGTTTTACAGTGTGGGAGCCTTATATGGACGTGTCCGCTGTGCTGATGGGCCTTTTGGAACTCTGTGCGGATGCCGAAAAGCAACTTTCAAAGTAAGCGCTTATCCATTATTTGATTAAGGAGGAGAAATGTTTTATGTATGATGGGCCTCCCTTGTTTTTGTTCGGGAGTGGAGGTGAAATCCAGCAGGTTCTGGAGAACTGGTAGTGGAAATTTTGAGTAGTTCAGAGAACCGGTAGCGGAAATTTTGAGTAGTTTGGAGAACTGGCAAATGCCACCTCTGGCTGGCCCCAGAGTGGGGTAGGAATGGAGATTTTGCAGTATCCTTCCCCTGCCATGCCCACCAAGCCACGCCCACCAAGCGACACCTCGCCCACCAAGCCACGCCCACAGAACAGGTAGAGAAAAAAAATTGAATTTCACCACTGATGGAGACATTTGCATTACGTTTGCAACAGTCCAGTTTCGGATTGGCTGTCACTTCCAGGAGCACATTTCACCAAGACTTCTCATTTGCTTCTGGGTACAGTTCCAAATGTTCATTTCAATCTGCAAAACCACATACGGTTTGATGGTGCCGAGCTACCTCTGCAGCCAGAATTCACTCAATGCATTGGTTCCTTTCTTTCCACCGAAAATGTATCCTGGTTTCTAGGAAACAGTTCCATCATACATTTATAGTTTAGACTTCATAAGGAAGTCATGGTAGTTTTTCTACTATAAGTAGTCTGAAATCAGGAAGAAAAGGCAGGTACAAAGAGAGAGCATGTCAATATATTAATCTTAAACCAATAAATCATGGTTTATCAATTTAATTGTGCTTGTGAGTTGAGCCAAGTAGTGAATAAACTTTTCGTCTCCCCCGGGAGTCTAAACTGCACATTCCCTGTATCTTTTCCATTTTGCTTAAAGTAGAATTTGCTTCATCTCATTGGTTTTTGATGGCATGTCATTGTTATTTTCTTAAATGTAGCAATGGAGAAACTTCTCTCCCTCTCTCTGTTGTATTTATATTTATATTTGTTTCATGACCTGCGATTGGATCTCGCCCTGTTAAGGCCATTAATTCACACATACATCGTGACTTCAGTGACAGTCAATATGCATATTTACTATCAAGGTAATTTAGAAGAATATGTCCATCCTTTAGTTCTATTAAAAATACACTCAAATCTGTTTGAAGTGGTTAAATTTTAGCATGACGTAACATAACATTCTACAGAGGATGGACAAATACCTGGAGATAAATTGTGTGTGTGTGTGTGTGTGTGTGTGTGTGTGTGTGTGAGATTGTCTGAAAATGTTTTCTTTAAAAATGAGAACATTGTTCTAGATTATTCTTCCATGGAAATATAATTTAAAAATCAGTTTAATGAAAGCTTTCAAAAATCCTGAGTTTCTGATTTCTTTCAGAAAAAACGTCAGTTGCCATTCTGTGTTGAAATTCTTAAAAGAGCTATTATTTTGATTTTTTAATTGACAATTTTACATATTTCTGTTTCAACATGAAACTAAGGAAACCAAAACCACAAGTAATTGAGCCTATGAGACTTGGGAGTGAGCATGGCTTACATTCTGGGGCCTATGGTTGTCCCACTCCCAGACCCTCCCTCAACTACCTCCTTCCTCTTCCTTCTATAAAGGTTATCTATTACAATCTATTTACTATTCCTTCTTACTTATTTGTGGCAGGCTTCACTGGGTCAAACTAATTATGGGGCACTGTGGAGCTTCCTTGTGAATTGTTTTTTGGGGGGGAGGGGCAATTTATTCAATTTTGATGGTGATGGAGGCAGTCACATGACCCATATTAACTTCCCTTGTCTATGCAGTTTTTCGACAATCTCACTGGAGGCATCTCTAAGATTATGTCACTGGATGCTGGTGCGGCCCTCCTGAGCTCCGTTTTCATCGTCAGAGGGTTGTAGGATGCCATGACAGCTGAAAACAGAGCTCGGGAGCCCATTTTCTCTGGCAGAAGAACTGGGGGCCAATCCTTCACTATTTTCAGGCTGTCCCTGTGGGCCAGATCTAAGCATCCAAGCCGGATCCATCCCTGGCCCTTGAATTTGACACCCCTGCTGTAGAGTAAAGAATCCAATGTGAACTATGGGGCTTAAGCAGAACAGCTCCTTCCATACCAGTCAGGCTGGTCACTCCAAAGAAGAGTGGCAACCGACAATATCCACCGCAAACAAGAAAGAGAAATAAGCAAAGAAACATAACAGAGATAATTTAATTGCAGTCCTTAAAAATATGATTAATTCATGTGGAAAAGCAATCACCGCAGGTATGGACCAAGCAGTGAATATAAGAAAAATCAATACAGGTAAATAAATCTGATCTTTGTTTATGAACTTGAGATATGTAAAACATGGTATATTAAACCTATGGATAAGATCCATCTATGTACAATTTGCAGAAAAATTAAACACATTCCATTTTATATGTGGAGAGTATATCAAATGCATGAAAAGGATCATAATCTATCATTACTCTTTATTAATGTGATAGCACAATGTATATAATCATAAACCATGATCAAAACTGTTTCTAAAATTATTAACTTGGCGTAACATTCTTCTTCTGTAGGCTAAAGGTAGATGCCATTATGAATTAGGATTATTTTTAAAAAGCTTATCATAGCAAGATTTTTTTTAATTCAGAAAAAGTACGATAAGAAGAAGAATCTATTTGCAATAACAGTTGAAAAAAATCACACGTTTTGCTTTTAATTTTTCAAAATCCCACTCACATAATTGCATGTATCCATGTATTTTCTTACTATTGTAAAATCATACCTAAATAACTTCCTTTTGAATTTAACATATGCTTAATGCAACCAAAAAATTAAATATGCATTATCTCTAATATTCTAGAACCTAATCAGAGGATTTTAAAAAGTAGTGAAAATTATCCTGATCCATGTATAAAAATAAAATATTTCTGTATCATCTCTTAAGATCTGCTGCCTTCATATAATCATGAAGTGTCTGATAAATAGGCAAATCTAAAAAAAAATGATAAATTCTTGAGAAGAAAAATCAATAAAACTATAAAACAAAAAGAATTTTTCATAGACAAAGATATAAAAAATATTGTGCAGTTATCACAGTGCTTAGACAAACCAAGCCGTTCCAAAGAGTTTCCAGCCTAATTGTGCAACAATTATATTTTTACTTAAATATCTTCCTGCTTTATGGAGGAAGTAAGAATTAATCATTGTCCTTCTGCTCACATCCTCTGAGCTATGAAAAAATCCTTTCCATGATGGTAATAAAATCATTTTAAAATCATTCTCTGTAATTTGAATTATCTGTGCTTAATTCTTGCCTCATAAAACATAACATTCTTGCACAATTTTTACTATACTAGAAAAAAGACATAATAAAATATAATATTGAAATGTAGTTTGTATTTTAAAATTAATATTTCCCTCTAGAGAATTAGGGATGACAAAGTCATACTGCTGAGTTTTATTTCTTTCCCTTTCATTCCTGTGCAACTAAGGTGTGCCACATCTTTAGATACTTGTATGTAATAAAACACATTTTTGATTGTTACCAAATTTCTTCAGTCTGTTCTAAAATGTCAGAAAATGTTTTAAAACCTCAAGTAAGTGGATTTTTTAATTGTGTTTTCCCCGCTGTTTTCCAAAAATGTATTCAAACCCTGATGTTCTGAGGTAAGCTTCTTTGTCTAAGAGTTCTCCAATTCAGCTAAAGTTTTCGCCAATATAGACAACTAATGTAGCTTATCTCATTTGATTCTTTGTCCCTTTTCTGAATTATTTAACACATAGGACAATGATGCTGCTCATTAATATTAATTATGTTTAAACATTCTACCCTGATTTTTAGAATCACAAAACAGGAAATAATGCATTAAAATGCAGTATTAAAAATAAATTTAGAAGCGTCATGAAAGTAGAGATCATTAAGGTCATTATAAACATTTTGAGTAAACTAATGCAAAATTGAAGATTATTGTCTGAATTGCGTATAGTGTTCTCATTTGATATTATTTACTTAGGAAAAAAAGAGACTGAAACATCATCTCCAGGACAAGAATTATGTTTTTATCTGTGTAACATTTGCTTAAAATTCATATTCTACAGCTTTTTGATAATGATGATGACCCATCATCAAAAGTAATTTGGTTAATTTTTAAAAGGGATTTATGAATATGTCTTCAGTCATTTTCCATCTGACTGACTTGATATGCTTTTTTCCTATCAGGTTTTTAAAGTTTGTAAGATAGTTGTTGATTCTTTGTTAATTGAGGGCAAATCAAAGTTTTCCTATTGTTTTCCTCAAAGAGTCATAGCCTCAACATATGTTTTTATATGAACAGATGTTTTTATATGAAGTTGAAGCTATATGAACTCAAATGAAAATGCAGGTTTTAAATTTTGATTGGCAGAAATTTTGATTCCTAGATGTGATCCTTTTCTTAAATTACCCACTTTATATAGAGGACATATGTGCCATTCCCAAAACATTGAGGGCAGATTATTTTCTCCAATTCAGCAATGGTGTTCCTTTATATTGCATTATTCTTGTGTTGTTGTTGTTGAACATTCTAGCTACCTTCCTTAAACAAACTTTTTAGGTTTGAGGATGCTGATATCAGGCGAGGATAAATTGTAAGGCATTATTTAATTTCTGGTTTCGGTGAAACGGGAAATAAGTGTATGTTATTACTACCAAGCTGGGAATTGCGAAAGTAAAATATTTTTGTCTCCTTAGAGAAGAGCTAGGCATGTGTCCATGTAAGATTTTTGTAAGTGTCTGTTTTGAGCAGAGCTTCCATAAAGACAAAGTATAGTTTTTCGAGATGCTATTTTAGGCTCCCTGGTATACCTCTAGCTGTCATAAAGATTAGTATTGCTCTCTGTATACAGAGCTGCTGAATAAATGAATGTATCAGCATGTAGCCTTGAGGAGACCGATGCAATTTTCATCATGATAAATTGCATAATAAGCGAGAAAGTGTTTGCTTATTAATCCATAACAAGATTTAGATTGAAAATGGCCTGTTACATCCGTGACAGGTACTGTACTGACTGCAGAGGGACTTAAGAGGGAAAGAA